CAGGCCCTTAAGTTGCTTCCAGCACTTGGCTATTGTAAATCGTGCTGCTATGAACATTGGGGTGCATAGTTTCTTTTGAATTGCTGTTTTAGGATTCTTAGGGTATAATCCCAGCAGTGGAATAGATGGGTCAAAAAGCAGTTCCATTCTTAGCTTTTTGAGGAAATTCCAAACTGTTTTCCACAGTGATTGCAGCAGTCTGCATTCCCACCAACGGTGTACTCGGTTCCCCTTTTCTTTACAGCCTCGCCAGCACCTGTTGTTTGTTGATCTGTTTATGATGGCCATTCTGACTGGTGTGAAGTGGTATCTCATTGTGGTTTTAATTTGCATTTCTCTCATGGCTAGTGATGATGTGCATCCCTTCATATATCTCTGGGCCCTCTGTATCTCTTCCTTGGAGAAGTATCTATTCAGGTCCTTTGCCCATTTTTTAGATTGTTTGTATTCCTGGAGTGGAGTCGTGTGAGTTCTTTATACATTTTGGAAATCAAATTCCTATCTGAGGTATCACTGGCAAATATATTTTCCCATACAGTTGGTTCCCTTTTCATTTTGCTGATGTTTTCTTTAGCCATGCGGAAGCTTCCTATTTTGATGAAGTCCCTTGTGTTTATTCTTTCCTTTATGTCCCTTGTTCTAGGGGACATATTGGTGAAACAAATTCTTTATTTGCATGTGTATTACCTATAGTGAGTGAGTGTTTTATATGTATCACCCTTGATTTAATCCTAAGTGTAGAGAAATATATTAGAGAATATGATTTTTGAATCTCTTTTTATTAACTTCTAAGATCAATAACATGGTTAAGCATTTTATAATTCACCTTTAATAAATACGGTAGATGTAAAGAGAACCTATAAAAAAGGACTGGTCTCAAATAATGGGTAAGAAGCTCTACCCAGTAAAAAGAACAGTCTATTCCCATGGTTAAGGAGTCAGAATTCATTATTCTCCATGAAGAAGATTCCTTCAGAAACTTCTTGAACTCTCTGTGTGTGAAAATCATTAACAGCAGAGCACTGACAGGTCTACAAAATGATGTAATTCCTTTACAACTTTAAGACAAAAAATTTGCTCAAACTGAGTCATGAGAATTTTAATGAAGAAAAGGTTTAAATACTCGGCCTCTGTTAAAGAGTGGAGCACTGAGAAAGATCAAATTTAACTGACATCAATTAGGCAAAGTGAAGAGACCCCTGCTAGACACACAGAGAGGAACCGACATTATCATCTAATGGGAAATATAGATATTCCTTTAAAAAAAAAAGCACTGAATTTTAAAACCAAAATGAAAACAAATGTTTTGCTGAATTATTTGTAGAACTTCAAGTATAAATTTACTTAGATAAAATACAAATATTAAACTAGTATTTGTAAAACATATACAACTTTAAGCAACATTATATTTATTCAGTTAGCAGTAAAGAGGAAATATGTTTCTATTTGATCATTTTGAACTGTTTAGTCATTTCTCTATTTTGTAACCATTATGAAGTTTACTCCTCTCATATCTGATTGTTTTGCATCTCTAAAAAATAATGTCTATCAGTAAAAATAAAATCATTTTAATATAATTATAATAATTCTGACTTCTGTAAGGGAAATAGATAGATAGGTTGGGAATTTTCTCTTTCTCTGCCTAGGAAGATAAATGGCTCAGTCATCTTGAACCCGTCTTTTTTTTCTAATCAGTATCTATCAGAATTAATACGTACCTGAGCTAATGGGTATCTATCAGAGTTAATATGTACCTTAGCTTAACCCAAATCAGTTTAAAATTTACTTCAATTCAGCCCATTGGGAAATGATGAGTCTGCTCCATGGTGGCAAACAAAATCTGAGATTGTCCATCCATTCTGTTCGTGCAGTTCCTGCCCTGTGCTTGGAGGTGAAAGAGCCCTACTGCTCCCCACCATTACACAGTAGCATCCTCAAATATCTCCCAACACTACCAACAATTCACTACCCACGTTTCATCTGGGTTCTGAGGTCCCAGAGTTTCTTACTGGAGTTCAAGTGTGGATGGGAGAGAGAGGAAGATGAGCAGGAAGGAGATGGGCATCCACAGTCCTAAGGAGAGCTCCAGCCTGGGATTTCAGATTGCTGCCACCCTTACCTTCACCTCATAGGCAAACCGTCCTAGGACCTTGAATGAGACTCACCTTGAACATCTATGCTTATCAAATCAGCTATAATTCGACCCCATTTATGTTTAAATGTCACTTTTTATGTCCAGCCACTTCACTATTAACTGATGTTCTCTAGGCTTTGTCTTTACAGTTCACATATTTCCCTTCTGCTCATTTTCTTCCTGCCCCACTGCATACAATACAGAGATAGTTCCTGATTCATTATGCAATTATGTTTAAGCAATAGATAATAGTTATGAACTAATCCTTCTCCAATACGCTGACTTCTCGCTACAATGAGGATACCACTCTTTCCTACCTATTAAAGTTCTTTGTCCAATTTGATAAGTCTCTCCTGTGCAACTTTAAAAAATGGAAATAAAGTTATATTTGCCTTCAATCTTTTGAAACAATCATACAATGTCAACCAAATTAGGAATCCAGGATGCAGTTGGATCTATGTATCAGCCTTAAAAAAAATAACCTCATAATTTTGAGAGTTATATGGGCTTATCATGCTTAACATCAGCTCTCATGTGTTACAAAATGAACTATCATTCAATGAGTACATTGTTCCTGTAAAATGAGATAAAGATTTTTAATAATTTTTAATCAGATTATGCCATACTTATTAGGTCTTATAACTTGTTTTCCAGTATCTTCCCTCACCACTAACAACAGAAATATGTATAGAGGCACGTCTGTACCACAGAGTATGAGTCTCCCTATGGTCATTTTATTCCTAAATTTAATCTATTTTGATTTTTTCTCCTCTGAAGTCTAAAAAATGTTATCAAAAACTCACTGCTAAGTAACCTTAAAATCTAATAAATAATTGTTCTTATCTATCCATGTCTCTCCATGTGTACATATTTGTGTATACATGATGAACCCTATTACTTCTGTTATTCCATATAAGATTGTAATATAATCTACTATATATAAGTGTCATTAATTCTACACATACTCTACCTCAGTAACTTCTCCATACAAAACTTCTTTTCAACCAAAGTTACAGATAATCCTCTCTCTTTTTTGCAACATAACTCATTTCATGATCTTAAAATGGTTGCCCGTAACATTTCTGCCTAAAACTAAAAACTTTTTTCTCATGTCATTCAAATTCACATTGATGTTTCTCTAGTTTGCAATGCCTAACTCTCTTTTTCCACTCCCTTCAATATAAGTTTTCCTCAGTTGCCCACAAATTAACCTTCCTAGTCTTCCTCCTTCTTCCTCAGAGCTTTCCATAGGTAATAGAAGGAAGTAGGCACATTCCTCTTAACCCAGACCACAACATAAAAACCCCATTACCTTTCTTCTACCTTTGAAAGTAAGCCAATCAATTTGCCCAGATTATGCAGTGCTAACTCTAGCCTTTTACAGATAATCACCAATTTCAAGTGTTTCTCTATGTTTTTAATAGAGTTAAGGTTTGCACATTTTATATACATCAGCTAATCTAATCTTCACAACCACTCTGTGAGGTAAGTACATTATTAGCCCCATTATACAGGCAATGGACTGGAGCACATAGAGGCTGATTGCCAAATGTCACATGTTAGTAAACGAGCCAGGGTTTGAACAGAGCCATATGGCTCCAGAGCTCATGCTCCTATGCACTGTATGAATCTGTTTTTTTGTGTTCAATATCTAGCCTTTTCTTTATATTGTTAAAAGTTATGCATCTAGAATACTAAAAACTTCATTGTTACAAGGACAATGCAATTTAATTCAAACTATATCTGAATTTTTTAACTTTTATTAATCATTTGGAGCTGATACATTTAAGGGACTAACTTGGACAGTGCCATACAAAATGTTAATGCACAAGGGAAAAATACAAGGAAGAGATGAGAGAAATATGATGAAACTGTATAAATTATATATTTGAGGAGATTTCATTAGGCAATTCATCATCTCCTTCCAAAGTTGTCTACTTCCTCAAACCATTGCTGAAAGATTATATTAATATTCTAGTGTCTTCAAATAAATTACTTGCTTTCTCAGTGGTATTTGTGGGCTTTTTCTTTTTGAAGAGGGGGGAACTAAAATGTACCTCAAATTTTATAATTTTGTTGCTGTTTACAGTATACTTTTACATACATTATCTTATTTATTATATCAGCAATGACCTCTTCCTTTTTCCTGACATGAAGTAACTAAAAGTGACATAAATATGATAATGAATTTCTTAGGGAAACCTTTATTTTTAGCAAGTGAAAGCAGTTCTCCATGATATATACACCACTCCTTTCCTAAGAACTAAAAATGTGTCTTAACTGACAATAGGATTAAGGGTGTATACAACCATTGCAGGCATATCATTTTTTGTGTGTCAATTTCTACTAAATAGTTATTAATTCTATCTTAACTGTGCTCCGACTTGTTATGGAAAGACATGCAGGGCTAAATTATCACATGTGAGAAATTAAAACTCTCACTGTCTTTCTCTTGCACACACAGCCATGCATGCACACATAAAATAAAAAAGAATCATTATTTTTAATGTATTAATGTATAAAGTCCTTTTATTATTTTAAACAAAGTAACAGCTAATAGAAAATTAGTATGTGGTCTGTTATCTGGTTTTATGTATTTCTATTTCAGAGAAAATGTATTATGTTAGGTTTAACAAACAATTGCAGCTACACTAATTATGAGAGTAGGTTTACTTTGTATACCTACCCTTGAATTCCTATTATTTGGGTGGAAATGTTATCCTTTTTTATTGTTTTTATATTTTATACTTTCAAGGCACTATTCCACTGAGTTTACCAAAAAAAACAAAAAAACCCATAACTTAAATATTTTTACTGGTCAGCAAATAAGAGTAAATGAAGAAGTTCATTACAAAAAAGATCCTCAGCGCTTGCTTTGGCAGCGCACCTACTGAAATCAGAACCATACGGAGAAGGTTGCCGTGGCTCCTGTGCAAGGATGACACGCAAGTTCATAAAGTGTTCCATTTTTTTTTTTTAGAAAAAAAAAGAAGATCCCCAGTGCTTCTTTATTCTGCAACCCCATAATTTTACAATTAACAGGAAATAGGCCAGTCGTTTCTCCAGTATGGACTTTTTCAAAGGAATTCATGCGATGCGATTGCCAAGAATAGATGTGTACATCTGCTTAGTGGTCATTGAAGAAATGATACATTTCAAAGTAAACAAATCAATTTTTCTAGAGGCTATCTTACCTTCATAAAAACAAAACATATAAACAAGGGGTTGAAGTGCTTGAAGAATGTTTCAACGTGTAAGTTTTACACTTGTAACATATATAAGCACAAAGTGCATCTCTAAACTCAAAAAAGGGTTTTTACTATGAGCTTGAGAAGGAATCACTACAGAGGACACATACCAAGCTTCATGTCTGTGAGTTTCCCTTTGACAGGATAGGAATTACTCAGCATATTTTTACCACCCAGCAACACAGATAGCCTGCAATTAGGTTTAAGACAAATCCATATTGTGGAACTAAACAATCACTGCTGTATTAAAATTCTCAAGTAACACACAAGTGAGGTTTTCAAACTCACAAAATCAATCAGATTGATGTTTGAAATCCACAAAGAAGTCACTGTAGTTGTTCTACAACTATCCCTTTCATTTATTTTTTTGCTTCCTTCCCAAAAATTAGACCCCAAGTTGAATTAAAATCCTGTCATAGAGACATCTGTAATTGATACTGTAACCCCAATTTAATTATGTGAAAACGATAAATAAAACAGAAAAAGTTTCAAACAATTAATATGGTGAACATTAAATAGGTTCAATGGATGTTATATTTAGAAAGTCCCAACATTTAATAGGCATATAATGCAAACGCAGTATTTTTCTTTGCATCACACACAACACATCACGAGGGAGAACATGCAAGAATTGACTTAAAACATTCCTTATTGAGGCCCCTGCCTCGACTATCAATGTAGAAACCAGAATAAATGATTCAGCACAACAAAACCTTCTTGAAACTGTGGTGTGTTTTCCTCCACACAAATCCATCAATGATACTACACAGCTCCATTAATGAAGACACCAGGCCAATGACAGTCTAAATCCATGAATAGAAAGGATAATACCATGTCACCAACCAGAGCCTGCTTTTTTTTATTTTTCCTGAGGGCTTAACACAAAGACTTTTCATGTCATTCAGATTATTTTCTTTTATGAGATATTTTCCAGGAGTCTATTTTTATTCAACTGCTCAAGAAGTGGTGACTTATGTTCTAGCCTTTGGTTAACAATGTCTTTTAATGTTTTTAATGCTTGTGTAGATCACTGAGAGCCAGTTAGCAAGGATGGTGAATGCCAGTATTCCTCAAATGCTGATCCAGCTGCATAGCCCATGTTCAATGACATGAACTAATATTGGCAAGGCAGTAGAACAATAATAAAATGAAAACTATGGAGCCAAAGTGCTTCAGTTCAGGTTTTATTCTGACATTTTCTGTACCTTTTCCATGTTACTTAAGCTTTCTTCACTTCATCTGCCTCAATAGCAAAAGGAAGATAATTATAAATTTATTATGAGAACTAAATGAGTTAGCATGTATTTGTAAAACTCAAAAATATATGGTATTTATAGTGTTTTATTTCATAATTTACAGTTGCTCAATGGACATTTGACTGTATGACATTGTAATTATTCTCTCTATTCCCAGCAGAAAATGTAGCTCCTTTAGCTATGCCGCTGGTTTTCAAACTTGGTTGCACATTGGCATTACCAGGGCAATTGTTAGACATACTCATAATTGGTGTAGGCTACAGACTAGGCAGTAGAATTTTTACTTTGTTTTTAATTTAATTTAATTTTTTATTGTATTTTTTTCTATTACTATTTAGTCCCCTTATACCACACCCCAGCAATCACCACGCTATTGTCCCTGTCCATGAGTCCTTTTTACTTTTTGCTTAATCCCTCCACTCCCTAATATTCCCCCACCCAATAGCTGTCAATTTTTAAAAGCTTTCCAGGTTTTCTAATGTGCAGCCAAGTTTAAGAACCACCAATCTACATTCCTTCTTACCTAGGTGGGCCACCTCTAGAAAATATAATCAGAGTGAGGATGGGGGCAAATGATGCCAATTCCCAAAGTTCCAATGACCTACGACAGTTGTTCTTAATCTTTTGTGTGCATCAGAATTACTAGAAGACTTGTTGATATAAAGATTGCTAGTCATACCACAGAGTTTCTGAATCAGTAAGTATGGGATAAGGCCCAAGGGTTCACATTTCTAACAGGTTCCCCTGAAATGCTCATGTTGCTGGTCCAGTGATCAGGAGTTGGGGCAGGTCAGCCCATAGTAGCGATCATATTGTTCACATCTTAAATATGGCCTGTATTGGTTGGGGTTCTCCAGAAAAACAGAACCAACAGGATGAGTTGATATAGATTAGATATAGATAGATGATAAGGATATAGATTAGATATAGATGATATAGATATAGATAGATATAGGTAGATAGATATTTAGTTTTCTTGAGGAATTGGCTGAAATGATTGCTGGGGCTTGGTAAGTCCAAAATCTGCAGAGTAGGGTAGCAGATTGGAGATCCAAAGTCTTACAATTTGAATACCAAGATGTCTGCTGGCAGAATTCCCTCTTGCTTGAGGGAGGTCAGTCTTTGTTTCATACAGGCCTTCAGCTGATTGGATGAGACATGCCCACAATATAATCTGCTTTACTCGATGTCCACCAATTTAAATGTTAATGTTAAAAAAAACACCTTCACAGAAACATCCAGAATAATCTTGGACCAAATATCTGGCACCTTGGCCGAATCAAGCTGACATACAAAATTCACCACATATGTTCTCATCTGTATACAATTTGCCAAATCCAATATGAAAGAGAAATAACCTTTTTTCTTCAAATATTTTTATTATCACAAGTTACAATTTTAAAAAATGAGATTGATCATATGCTGGTAGAAACAATTCGACAGTTTGAATGGTCCAAAGTGATTAAGTTTAGTCAAAATCAGTGACAAAATTCTCAGTGTATTTAGTGACCCAATGTGAAAAACTTTCTAAATAAAATTTTGAGATGCTTATGGAAAAAAGAGACACAAGATTCACTCTAGGTACAACTAAGAAACTGACTTTTCTTCTTCCCAGCAACTTCTCTAAATTGGTGACAGGGCTCCAGCACTTTTTTTAAAGCCTCTACGTTATCCCATTCTTTCCATCTGTCCTGTGTTCCAATCCCAACAGTTCCTAATCTCAGCTGTAAATATAACAACAAATCAAACTCGAGTGTTAATATGCTATGAAGTACAGAGATGATTTGTTGACATTGACTGATTTTTATGTGGCCGAATAAACCAAATTCTTCCCAATGTTACTTTTCCAAAGGGTTGCAATGGACAGAAGAACAAAGCATGTGGAAGAACTTTTTTTTCACTCTGGGGTCTACTGCAAAATTAGAATTGGTGGGAGAGATTTCTCAAAACATATGCTATGTAACTATCCACACAGGATATATTAACATGCCCTGGGATGGGATTGTTCCAGATAATTCAAATAAAACCCCTTCCTTTACCCCCCATCAGTGGTTCTCAATCCTAATTGTGTATTAAATCATTTTATGAGCTTTTATGACATACAGATGCCAAAGCTCCTCCCTAATCCAATTAAGAAATAACATCTATGATGGCTGGGGAATCGCTGTATTTTAAAAGTTCCCCAGGTGATTTTAATATGCAGCCAAGGTTGAGCACCACTGACTTATATTACAAAGAAACTATAAAATATGAGGTCACTGAGTTTGTAAAGAAAACAGACAATACTATTTATCATAATATAAATAAAATCTTTACAGTTACAGTTTTACTGTATAGTTACAAACTTTACACTTACAGCCAACAAAAGTTGGAAACAGTCTAGTGTGTGGGGAAGCTTTGGGAAAAAACAAATAGAGATCTTAAGCACCTTATAACTTTCCATCTCTCAGCTTTATAATTTCTATTCATTGAAAAATTCTTATTCATTGAAAAACTCCACTATGTGTTAAGTATAACAATTTTTAAAATAAAATAATGATTAATAATAGAGTTTTTTTCTTCCCTAAATGAGCTTTCTGTTTGCTAGTCTGATGACCTTGAGAGACAAATACCCTGCAACCAGGCTGAAGTGTTCTTGCAACATTTGATCAAGTAGAGCAGAGTCCCTGTTTTAAATCAGCTGAGGAATCTTAACGTGTTGTTCCAGCCCAGATACAAGCCCAGTGAGTATTAGTGATTGGCTGAATTGGTTTAAATTACTCATTTCAATTCCTTAGGGACTTCAAATACAGATATTTTAATACATATATTTAAATAAGATATATATATATATACACACATCTATATACTTTGATTTTAGAAAAGCAAGCTAAACCTTCAGAAAACTTTTATACCACAAAGTATTTTGTCAGTCTCAAAGAGGTAACTTTGAAAAAGATCAAAGAACTAATGTACAGAAAGAATAAGAAACACTGGGGAATTGTCATTCCCAAAATATTTCAGATTTTAGATTTATGAATATCTTGGTATCTGGAAAAAAAGTTATAGCTACAACAAATTCTTATTCAATGAGACAATCTACAAATACACAAAATAATGCGTGTGAAATTGTAAGTGGAGCAGACAATTCTCTCCATGGTTGAATTATAAAGGGAACTGTCATGATGCCATACCTCCCTCAAAATCCCATCAATTATGAGGGAAATGCTATCAGTGTTGTTAATAGAGCCTTAAGCACTGATCACTTGCAGCAAATACTCCTGAGAAAACTCATAGTCCCAGTGAACTAAAGCAACTTTATTTTAACAGGCTATGCTCTGAAAGAATTTGGTGTGAGGAGCAGGATTCAGGACTTGCGGACAGCATCAAGTTCAGCTTTGTCTACTTTTCTGATATTGATGTTTTAAGACTGACTGACATACACTTCTTGCTCAGGATCAGTTGCTCCATCCATAGGGATTCAAGTAAC